TGGGAAACCATCAAAGAAAATGGGAAATTTCTCTGGCTCCAAAACTACCGTTTTCTACAAATCCAATATGGCTGTATGTTAACTTAGGAAAAATAAAGACATTGATTATATACTTTCTTTTATTATGCTCAAAATATTTCTATGTCCACATACATGAAAAATATACAGTCCACAAATAATGAAAAAATTTCTAAGTCCACAACACAACAAAAAAATACTAAGTCCACACAACAAAAAAATACTAAGTCCACAACACATGAAAAAAATACTAAGTCCACACAACAAAAAATTACTAAGTCCACACAACAAAAAAATACTAAGTCCACAACACATGAAAAAAATACTAAGTCCACACAACAAAAAATTACTAAGTCCACACAACAAAAAAATACTAAGTCCACAACACATGAAAAAAAACTAAGTCCACAACATGAAAATTTTTCTATGTCCACAAAAAACGAAAAATTTACTAAGTCCACACAACCAAAAACATACTTAGTCAACACCACAAAAAATACTAAGTCCACACACCATGAAAAATTTTCTAAGTCCACAAAGGATGAAAATTTTTCTAAGTCCACAACATGAAAATTATTCTATGTCCACAAACAACGAAAAATTTTCTAAGTCCACAACACAGGAAAAAAAACGAAGTCCACACAACAACAAAAAAATACTAAGTCCACACACCATGAAAATTTTCTAAGTCCACACAACATGAAAATTTTCTAAGTCCATAAAGGATAAAAAAATTTTCCAAGTCCACAAACATAAATTAGTCCAATTCCACAAGAGGAAAAAAAACTAAGTCCACAAACAAAGACAATATTTCAAAGCACAAAATATGAAAAATATACCAAGTCCACACACATTGAAAATTATTACAAGTCCACAGGATAAAATAATACTAACTCCACAACATATGACAATTTTTCTAATTCCACAAACAATGACAATATTTCCAAATACAAAAACAAACAATAAAATAATACAAAGTCCACAAACATCAAAAATATAATAAGTCCACAATCGATGACAATTATTCAAAGTCCACATACATTAAAAGTTATTCTAAGTCCACAAACATTGAAAATTATTACAAGTCCACACAAGTTAAAATAATACTAACTCCACAACATATGAACATTTATCTAAGTCCACAAACAATGAAAATTTTTACAAGTCCACACACGATACAAAATTATTCCCGGTCCACGGACGTAATACATTAATACGGAGCCACAGACGATAAAACATTTTCTATATCCACAAAATATTCAAAGTCCACAAACGATAAAATAATAACAAGTCCACAAACATACCAACTACACATACACAAAGGCTAAAATAATACTAACTCCACAAACATCATAAATTATTCCAAGTCCACATACATTAACAATTATTACAAGTCCACAGAGGATACAAATTATTCTAAGTCCACACAACATGACAAAAATACTCAGTCTACATTGAAAATTATTCAAAGTCCACAAACGATAAAATAATAACAAGTCCAAATACATATTAATTATTCAAAGTCCACAATATTCAAAGTCCACAATCATTATACATTATTCAAAGTCCACATAAATTGAACATTATTCCAAGTACACAAACAATAAATTATTCAAACTCCACAAAATATTCAAAGTCCACACAACATAACAAAATATTCAAATATCCACAAACATCATTAATTATTCAGTCCACATAAATTGAACATTATTCCAAGTACACAAACAATAAATTATTCAAACTCCACAAAATATTCAAAGTCCACACAAATTGATCATTATTCCAAGTACACAAACAATAAATTATTCAAAGTCCACACAAATTGACAATTATTCAAAATACACAAACAATGAGACATTTTCAAAGGATAACAATTATTCCAATTCCACACAAAATACACAATTATTCAAAGACCACAAACATCATCAATTATTCAAAGTCCACACGGGATAAAAAATTAGTCCGATTCCACCGGCGTAATACGTTATTCCGAGTTCGCGTGGGTCGATAATTATTGCCGGTCCTCGGACCCGACGCATACATTTCCCGGTCCACAAAAGGCAAAACAAATTCAAAGTCGACAAACATTATCAATTATTCAAAGTCCACAAAGGTTAACAATTTCAAGTCCACAAACAACTACAGGTTGTAACTCTCTAGTCCGGCATTCTGTGCTCCGCAAACTCCCGTGGTCCAAAACAATTTTACTTTCTCCAACAGGTACATAGGCAGTTTTTTTTTTTTTCTTGCAAATTATCATTATTATAGCAGGAGTATTAAATTGTGGGTCAGTGACTTATGCCCAGGTGGGCTAATCCCCTAAAAAAAAAAAAAACCCAGGAAATTAAGGTTTGTTTACATCCAGCACTTCAGCTGCTCTCTCTCTCTCTTTGTCTATAGAGTACAACATTTAACCCTTCAGCAATAAATAAGTGTTGCTTTCATATTCTTATGTACAGTAATGACGATATCTTTTCACATGTGCGCACTCACTTTTTTTATGGTTAACTACTTATATTGTTCCATTTTTTAACATTAAATAACATTACACGTACTTCAAACGAGCATATTAATTTTTTTACATTAATTTTACTGCAGCTAAAATCAGGGTCTTATTTTCTTCAGTTTTATATGTACAACCAATCGGTCACTGGTTTTGTGAGCTTTAACGTAAACGATGCCGGCAGCCGTCTCGTCTCGTCTCGTCTCCTCTGATATTCCACGTATTAATAATAAATTCTAGTGTTAATTTTGCACACACAAACATTAATTCAATAAAAACAAATTCACAAACATCAATTACAATATATATGAACAGTAAATAAGTGTTGCTTTCGTATTCTTACGTAAAGTAATGACGATATCTTTTCGCATGCCCACTTACGCGCGCGATCTCTTTTTTTTCTTTACCGTTATCGTTAGCTACTTCTATTGTTCCATTTATTAACATTACTTAAAACAACCATAGTCATTTGACTACAGCTACAGCCAAGGTCTTATTTTCTTCTCTTTTATATGTAGAACCAGTCAGTCACCGGTTTTGTAATCGACGAAAACAATGCCGTGTGTTTTAATATTCTACGTATTATTAATGAATTGTATTGCTCATTTTGCACACAAACAGTAATTCAATAAAAAAGACATTCAATAATGAATCTTTTCTACACGAGAGAAATGACGCTCTTTACGCGATTGTGCCAGTCGTCTGCACGTTGGCGGGCCGTTCAAACCCGTCGAAATTCCACTTTCCGCCGTCAAAATTTCTATTTATTTATTTTTGGCTCTGTTCCAATAAAATACGTTAAGAATTAAAAACTCTCCAAATTTCACGAGCTACTATACGACATTTAACCCTTCAATATGTCTTCAAAGAGGCCGTGATGCAGAGAAAGTGGTGCTAGTGCTTCCAAGCATAAGCACAAGTCACTATCTATCCAGGAAAAGGGTCAATTTCCATGGTCCGGTCCCGAGGTTGCCCGACTAGAGGTACGACATTTCGGTCCACAAAATATCTCACTTATTCAAAGTCCACATACATGCAACACATTTTCCAAATCCACAAACCAAAATAATTTCAAACTGCACAAATGACTATACTATAATCAAACAACAACAACAAGTCAAAACATTTTTCAAACTACAAATAACTTCAATCAATTACAAACAAACATATACAAGTCTACAAATATTCGAAGACGACCGATCCGCGGACGATTGACTTTCGTCGACGACGCCACATTTTTTACGACTCCGCGAACGAATCTACGACGACAAAAAATAACTCCGCGACTCCGGCCGTTCCGGTCGATTCCGACGACGCCAAACTCCCGACAAAATATTCCCGGTGCGCAATTGACACCCTTCAAATTAAAACCAATAACTATTCCACAATAAACAATTTCACAAGTCCACAACATTAACTTACACTCTTCAACTATTTCCCGATATATAACTGCCCAAACCCGACGCGACCGCGTATTCAAACTACAGACGGTACGTGCATTCTCGTCCTCGATGACAGTTACTTTCCAAATCTAAATAGAACTCCTCCTCTTCTTAACAACAACATTTAGTCAAATATCAACACAATATATCTAATTCACACTCACAACATATATATAACAACAAATAAATACAATCCAACATACACACAGCAGCAGTAATACAACCACAAATTCAATTGGTAACAACAAACATATACAGGAACACAAAAACAACCAACAAATGGGAGTAACAACAGGATCAAGAGCAATGGGAGGGTGAGAAACAACAAGGGAATCACAATCAAACAGAGGAGGAGAAGGAACAGACGCAGAACAAGCCAAAGAATAAACGAGGAAGACATATGGCGAAGAGGAGGAGTAAAAGAAGGAAACAGGAAGAAGAAGAGGACGGACAGAAGCAGGTAGGGGGGAGAAAAACGAAGGGAGTTGCAATGAAACGGAGGGAAAAGAAGCCGCACGACAAACACGTCAAAAAAGGAGGAGGAGGACGGGGAGGCAGAGGGAAAAGACAAAAAAGGGAGGGCTTACAAATTAAACATTGTGCTCGTATTCCTTCCCCTACTCGTCCAACAAATTTTATTATTATACAAACGCCTTCACAATAAACACCTTAACACGAGTGGAGCAACACGGAGTACGGGTGAACGAGTATAAATTCAGGCCAAAAATATATTACTGCTGCATTACGTATTTCCTTACCGGTAGATGTCGCGGTCTCAAAATAGGTACCCACGCGCACTCCACGACTGCCCGCTCTCAAACGCACTGCCACAATTACGTAAAACTAATACACCTGTCGAACCTTCCCGCCATTTCAAACACGCGACTCTTAGTTAAATCTACTTCCAAATCATTCTTTACGCATCTCGCGGGTATACTTTCGTTTGTGCGCCGCCTCGTCTCCGTCCGTTCTCCGTCGGTCCTCTTTCCCGTCCCGTAAACGGACCCCGATCGACCGTCGTCCGTATCCGCCCGCGCCCGCACCCGCCGCTTTACGTACGACCCTTTCCTAAACCGCCATTTACTAAATTCGTCGTCGTCCGTCCCACGTCGAAAGGTTATTGCGATCGTCGCTTCCGCCAATTCCTCTACCGCGCGACTTCTTTACAATCCCCGTCGCATCCGTTTCTCACAATTACGCCGACTCGGCACTGACGAGTCAATTCCTTTAATACCCTACAAAATATATCATTCGTTGTCCCCCCCCACCACCATCCTTATCACCTTTTACTTTATATCTTCACTAATATATAACTACTCTCTCTGTCCTAAAAAACCCACCAAATAGTCATCATTTCTCCATTCTTATCGGTTACCACAACAACACCATCTATGTCGGTCCGATCTCCCCCGTTCTTTTACTTTCAAAAGGCGCACTTCCCCGCCGCCGCCGCCGCGTTCTCTCGTATTTATGCTGCCGTTATTTACGGATGCGTCCCGCCACAAATGACGTGCGCGCCGCATTCCGTGACGTTCTACGATCGTAATCATCTCCCCAAATTAGTGCAAACACCTAGTGATCACAGGCAACATCTTCAATAAATTCATTCTCGACATGTATCGACTTCCTCCGTCTTCGCAGAGTCGGTCTCTAAAAACAATACTACAAACATTATAACAATCGTTACAAACAACACGTACATTCATTTTACACGTTAAATCGTCTTTAAAACAATCGCGCCGGCCCGACATTGATGCGTGTCTCCTTCTGCGTTGACGAGTGTCTTCCCGCACTCGGGAGTGTGGCGTTCTTCCCGTGTTCCGGAGCATCTTCCTCGCGCGTCGACCGGTGTCTTCGTCCGCAGTCGACGAGCGTCTTCGTCCTCGGTTCCCGAATGTCTTCGTCCGGACCGCTCTCGTGCGCCGACTGTACGAGCCGTCTCCGACTCGTATCGGCGCGCTCCTCCGCAACTGAAACGGACAAATTACTGTCAAAATATATCGACAATTATCTACTATTACAAATTCTACTAATTCCCAAACAAACTTCATCTAAGTTCATTCTTTCTACAGTATACCTATACACAAACATATCTACACACTATTGCCAACTAAAACACACAGGCATACTCGACTACCCCACAATTACGTCCCGCACAAATTACTCCTCCCGCTCGTGCCGTACGCGGGCGCCGACGTCGCGCTCTGCCGTATCTCCGTAAATACCCGCGACCCCGTCGCCTAATACAAAATCAAACTCGACGCTCCTCCACCCGTCGGTACGGTGTGCACGTCGCCACCTCCCATACTTAACGATTATCAAAAAACATACAATATACCTATACATAACATAATATTAATTGTACATATTCGTACCATTCCCAAGAACTCGAGAAATCTATAAGACGATTGGGAAAGTCCACTCGATCCGGACCGGTGTACTTTACGACCGAATGTACGTCGTGCTCTCGAGGTCGTACCATTTACGTCTGTGAACGTAACTTCCGCAGATGTCGCGTAAAAATACGCGACGACGGAGAACCGGTACGAGGATAAACGTGTTGGCGGTGAACCAAAAACTATACGGCGAGTTCTGCTATAACGCGTGTTTTGACGACGCGATTTATGAATTGAGGAACGATATTTGTAAAACGCGAACTCGTTTCCTCCGACGCGATTCCACTCGAACGATTGTTATGGCTTCGGTTCACGTTCGACATCGCGTGTTCAATTGAGTTATGTGTTTTGTTTGTGAACAATTGCAGAAATAATGTATGTAATATTTATGTATACAGTATACCTATATATTATAAGTCAATTGTAAAATTTTACATAAAAGAGACAATCAAATTACATAGCGTTTTACACCAGCGCTCTCTTTACATCACACAGTGTTTACGGTTCACGTTCGACTTCGCATATTCAATTGATTTTTGTGTTTTGTTTGTGAAGAATTGCAGAAATAATTTATGTAATATTTATGTATACAGTAAACCACTCACAAGGTCCTACAGTGACAACAAAGGGAAAGTGACCTCGACTGTGACCGTCTGTGCCTATTTTTAGCCGTCCTTGTGGTCGGTAATGCATATCGGTATATTTACTGATCATAATACTTATCTCCTATAAATAATTCATTTGAAATTTATTTTTGGGCAAAGAATATTCGGTAAATGACTGCGTTAATTCTTGAAACTACCCACATTGGTAAATTTAGGACATAAATGATGAACGGAAGTCACGTCACGGATTCGGAGTTTGGTCCTTAACGATCGCCATAAATGTACATTGCCGGGTATAATGGTAGCCTCCCTTTTTCCAGAAAAAAGTATATAAATTAAAGAAAATACTTGCAGCATATTTAATATATTACAGTATATTATAAATAAATAAATCAACAAATAAATTCAAATTCCCTTATCATCCTGTGTTATAAACTCGAGTCCCCGAGCGAGTACACAAAAAGAAAACGCACGACCGACACATCCTCGAGTGGATAGAGAACGGACATCTCTACTGGGGGACTCGAACGTTTCTCGTGTTTTGTGGGCGCTGTAGCATAAGATGAATATGTAAATTGTAAAAATTTAAATAAAAGAGAAAAACAAAATAAGTAGCGTTTAAAGTGTACTTTACATTGTGGCTTGGCGCAGGGTTATGCAGTGTTTACAGTTCACGTTCGACATCGCAAGTTCAATTGATTTATGTGTTTTGTTTGTGAAGAATTGCACAAATAATTTATGTAATATTTATGTATACAGTATACCTCTACAGTATATTTTAAATAAGAGAAAAACAAAATACATAGCGTTTTAGACCCGCGCGCTCTGTTTACTCCACACTTTGTTTGAAACACGTGTGAAATTTTTAAGTGTCCTCGGTGATTACTGTTTCTCCAATTTTGTGACTATGGAAAAGAAGAATATCTCTGGGAAGCACTCTGGTGATCATAAAAGAAAGGCTATAACACTCGAAGAAAAGCTTGATGTTTCATGACTCCTCAACATCAATCTTCTCCCCCATCAAGTTATATTCAGATTTTTTCAAGGTCAAGTGTAACATTTACTGTATGATTTCAATATTAGATATCAATGTAACATTTATTTAGACTGTACTACGAAATTTTTGTCGATTTGGAGTAATCTGCACCTAACCCTATTTTCTCCATAAGCCCTGTCATTTCTATTACACGAATTTCTATAACACGATGTTTTACAAGAACACAACTATCGCATTATAGCAGAACTACCCGTACTCGAAAGGAAACGTCTCGTATGCATCCGCGTAAACTCGATACGCCTCGTCTCCTCGGGACGTGTACGGCGATGAGGATAATCTTACGTCTGCGTTCAAATGGTGCAATGTGTCTGAGGAGGATCCCTAATTACACTTTTAAGGGAAGTGGATATACCCACGCCACGAACTTTCGGCTTCTGTTCCGAGGGATCGTCCCGTGTACCCGCCTCCGGCGTGCCGCGTTCCTATTATGACCCGCAATGTGCATACAATAACGCCTACTTGCAATACAGTATAAAACATAGGACATAAATACATATACCTCATCCTCCATTACAAGCTACTACATTCTTAACCCTTACACCCAGGTGACGTCCATCTGGTCTCCCCTTTGTGGAGGAGGGGGTGGGGAGAATTCATCTTGTTTCTCGATTTATCCCAATAGGAAGGGAGGGGGAAGTGCCAGCAGCACCCTAACCCTTGGCTTAAACTCCCATTTTTTAATAATACTTTTCATATTGTATCCAACACTTTTAGACCAGATATGACACCTTCAATTCTATATCTCTATGCTAAATTAAGTACTCTCATTATAACACTTGTAATGTCCGTCCCTCTACGCATTTTCGATGGCACCCGAGTCTCGTCGTCGGTCGCATTTTCATTTCTCCCTCGTTATCTTTACGTTCTACTACTCTTTTACTCGTAAATTCCCGTCTTATTTCCTCTCGGTCACCGGTCAAAACTTCCTTCGATATTTCGTCGACGACGCGCCGCTTAATAAATTCTCGTCTCCCTTAAAAACCTTCCACTTACTCTACGCAATTCCTACGGAGACGCCGAGGCACGCCACATACGCATTCCTATTCTTCAGAGAACCATTAAGTAAATACCGTACACTGCGATATAAACATTACAATACGGCGTCGTCCGACATTCTCACCCGCGGTTCGAGCGGCGTCCTCGGCCGGGGTCCGTCGAGTCGCCGGTCCGCACAAAAATGACGTTTCTGACTCCCGTCGGGTGACTGCAAATGAAAAATTAAGGTTAAAAAATATACATAGTCAATTAGGCATGCAAATTATACATGAACCCTTGACACCTAACCCAAATATCCGAGTACATTCTCTAAAGACCTGGATACATTTGCCAAACATACACTTTCCATTGGAAAATCTTACATACTTAGGCAGCCACCAAACGGGGAGATACCACCTCCGCAGACAATATTGGAAGCGTAATGTGTCGTCCGTGGTAGATCTTCCTGCTACGTGGCATCCCTAAAATTGTGACCGAGTCCCGGGTCGCTCGTCTGACTCTCTGCCTCGTTAACACGCGATTGCGGGGTCTCGATTGTTTCTCTTACAACACAACATAAATCTATTGTTCCTCACTTTTGATTTTTTTTTCCATTTTGTATTTCTTTAAGGTTCTTCAGTATTATTGTTACATATAAACTAGGTTACCCCATATTTATGGCAATATGTTTTATTTTACTTGTGCAATAATGCGCCACTTTGAATGCGCACGCGTGTTTTGGTTTCGTTTTTACGGACGGTCCCGAAAATATACCGGAGAGAGCGTCGTCGTTTGTGTCGTCGTCTGAGCCTCTCGCATCATATTTCGTTGATATCCACCAAAAATGAACACTGTAACTTCAACAATTATTATTATTATTACATTTTCGCCCCGATGTGGGTCGGTGACCCGTGCCCGGGTGGGCTAATTCCCATAAAAAAAATACGTATTATTTATTTACTTTGCACTTTTATACGTACGAGTGTCGACGAAATTAATCTGCAGTTATTTACGCGATCTCATTTCTTGCGCACTTTCGACGGTTCGACGCGTGCCCTCGTTCTACTCCGGATGCACGTCAAATACCCGACGACGACGACGACCCCTCCGGGAACGTCGTAGCGTCGACCTCCGGCGCGCCCCGCGACGAGAAGACCGCTCCGGAATTTCGACGAGACGTCACGTCGAACGGCGTTCCGGACTATACCCTCGACGATGACTGCGAGTGGCCTCGGACCAAACCCCACGCCTCCCGAGACACGGTCGAGTGAGGCTTCGGTCTCCGTGCTCGCCGATCGCCGCAATATAATACCAATTAAAACACTGCACTGTATGGCAAGTCTACCCTACAATGAATCCCCAAATCTGCTGTACCAAACATTCACTTGCCTAAAACGGTTAGCACAGACACATCCACCCAGGCAAAAGAGGGGACTTCAATCGACTACTCTTGTTACGGCGGAGGAGCCGCGCGCTCGGTCCGTGGGCGTCAAACCCGAGCGTTCCTTTAATCGCGGGCTGTGGTTCCGCCGGAAGATGCCGTTCCTTAATTTCTGCAACGTGAAAGCCCGTCCTCCCAATTTCTCGCACGGCAACCGCCGGACGCGACCGCCTGCCGATGCCCTCTGGGTCCCACGCCACCCAAACAAACCCACCTAACTTTAGTAAATGGAAACGTACGTGCCCGAGAGTGGCGTACGAGTATTCTACGCGTGTCGCCGCATTATTCTCCCGCCGAATGCATTCGCCGCTGCGCATTTCGATGCGTTTTCCATTGAAGGACTAGGGTGTGGTTAGCAAATTATTTGTTCCTCTAATTGACATATATACAACTTATAAACCCTTCTTCACACTCACAATTTATAATTATAGTCACATATTTTATAGCAAACTCCAATAAACTTATCTAATATTTATCCCATTAATATCAACACTAATAACTGGTCACTTCGACTAAGTGTGTGTAGTGTAATTGTAATCACACAAAATGGTACATTATTAATAAGGTGACCATCATATACTATAAAACTTATTAAATAAAACACAAAAAAGGAACGACAGGTGCTAGGAGAGAAAGGTGGTATGTGGAGGGAAGGGATAGAGGGGTGGAAGGGAAGGATAATAGATAAGGAAAGGAAGAATGGTACGTGAAGAAAGGGAGGGGGGACAGATGGTGGGATAGAGGGGTGGAAGGGAAAGATAATAGATGAGGAAAGGAAGAGTGGTAAGTGGAGGGAGGGATACATTTAGCTGGAGGTAGAGGGAACAAGGGGTGGTATAGTCGTCAAACTATCCGTTAATCTTTAACGTCGTGTACTCGGAGCTTCCGTCTTCTCGAGTGCCGGAGCGGGTCGCCGCAGTTGTTTTGGGGGTCGACCGCCGGGCAAGTTTTAGCATTCTTACTCAATGAAATACTGTACATTACAAATACACGTATAATATGACCTTAAGCTAAAATAACCGTTGACTGAGCTTTAGTTATCCTTAAAATAGCATCCATAAAAATAGAAAAACACGTAGGTTATTCTCGACGATCGTCTCGCGTCGGAGAGCGGCACTCGCCGACCCGTCTCCGGAGCGACGATCTACGGTCGTTCTTCGTGTCCTTCTCCCGGATCGCGCTTCCGCTGCCCGAGGCGACTTCTTCTGTGGGTTAAGTTTGTGATGTGAATGCTGCCTGCATTTAATAATTATACTGCACTACATCTATACAACCATTGCATAGGGTATTATAAATCAATCATAATGCCCTCGTAAAATATCGTGTTGATCATTTTTAATTTGTGTCGTGTACCGGTAAGCAGAGTGTCGAGTGGCCGGAGGTGTGTCCCGGGCCGACGGCGAGACGATACCCTACGTGATGGAACTAATCTACGATCGTAACTAGTCTATTGCTAGAAAATGCAATATACTGCACGCGAGACTACGTAAACGAGTACTTCTCGCAAACGACGACGGACCGTACGACTGCGCAATACGGGCCGAATCTCGAGCGGGCCCGCATCCGCGGACGGACCGCCCTCGGCGTGCCCGTCGACGGACACGCGCGCGACAAAAATCGCCACGACTATTTACTAAACGAAGAAACGGGACGTCGACGACCCGACGGCATTGTCGAATATTACGTCGTCGACGCGGTTACGTAAAATTGTTACCGGTCCCGCGTACGCGTCGGTGACGCGAGGCGCATTCCTAGAGAGCTAATAGCTTTAAACCAAATTTGGACTCAATTAAAGTGGTTTCAATGGAACAATTTACTTTGGTACTCGAGACTAACACAAAATACTAAAAAGACCCAATATACCCAAATGCACCTCGGCCCATCTCCTACAAAACATCGTTTTTGTAGTATCGCGTTAAAACGGACGCTCGTAAATCGACGCGGCTAAAATTACGAGACGCGAAATGGCCCGTTTACTCGTGATCGGATTCGCGGCAAGATGGGGAGGAGGGTTATCGGTTTGACAGTTGATGCCAAGGTCTAGAGCTTATTTATTTATCTGTCCTTAACAGTGACTTTCAGGTTTTCTCTTATGAAATATCACTAAACTGACTTGGAAGAATATAATTAACATTGCTGGAATTCTTATAAAATTGTGATTACTTTGAATATAAACATGCTATAGTTCACATACAAATTTTAGTTGTAACTAATTTTATTACAAAGGGCTACAAATTTTTTTCTCTTGTGCAAAATATACAACGTTTATGTTAAAATTATTAGCCGTCTTGTAACGATTTTAGCAATGCAAATTAAATTCTAACTTTTGTCTGTGATATTACTTAAGATAAAGCCCGGCGACACCGACGGTTGGCGCCCGGGTCTGTGGCGCATTTTTTCCCGGCCGGGAAATGACCCGGGTGACTATAATTAACATTCTTGGGATTCTTGTAACATACTGATTAATTTGTATATAAACATGCTATAATTTCCACTAGACATAACAATTTTAGTACCCAAATCAAATTAGTACAACAAAACTCCAGCTTTGCACTAAGGTCAATTATTTCTTTTAGTATGCTGTGTGCATGTAAATGGATGAAGAAATTGATGTAAATCTACCCAAAAATACAGTTCAAAAACTTTATATTATAAAATGTACTACAGTACTGTACACTAACGTACAACAATTTTTATCTCTCGAGCAAAATATATGACGTTAACATTCAAATTATTGGCTGTCTTGCAAGGATTCCAGCAATGCAAATTATAATCTCCTAACTTTAGTCTGAAATATTATGTAAGATAAAAACTGTAAGCCTAAAACCCTGGCTCAACAGATGGGGGAGAGAGTTAAGAGGAGATGTTTGACAGTTTGAGCCGAAGGTCTCTGTGAGTTTATTTAACAGTCCTACTAAGCTTCTCTCATTTTAAAATGCCACTGAAATGACCTGGTACAATATAATTAACATTGCTGGGATTCTTGTAACATACTGATTAATTTGAATATAAACATGCTGTAATTTGCACCGGACATAACAATTTTTGTACCGTAATCAAATTAGTACAACAATGCTCCGGCTTTGCACCGAGGTCGTTTATTTCTTTCACGTTTCTTTTATTGTGGTGTCTGCATGTAAATGGATGAAAATAAATGAAGAAATTGATATAAATCTACCCAAAAATACAGTTGAAAAACTTTATATTATAAAATGTACTACAATTTTTATATCTTCAACAAAATACAGTATATATAATGTTTATATTCAAATTATTGGCTGTCTTGCAAGGATTCCAGCTATGCAAATTGTAATCCCCTAACTTTAGTCTGAGATATTATATAAAATAAACACCTTAAAGCATAAAGTTATCACCAATGTTTTGTCTGGGAACACAAGGAGGGAGGTAGCCAGCGAGCAGGGGGGGGAAGTGAGGTGACAATGTCTTTATTTATTTGAGATAAGATTTGACAGTTGGCGCTGAAGGCCCGAGTGTTTATTTATCATTACTTAAGAGTGACTAAGCTCTTCTCATAATTTGCCACCCAAACGACCTGGGTGAATATAACTTGTAAGATAGTATTTGAATATCTGTGTAAACAATCTATATTTGCCATAGACATAACAATTTAAGTACCGTAATCGTTTAGTACACGTACAGTAAGGGTTTGCACTCGGGTCCATTGTTAACCGAGGGACCGCTGTAATTGCAGTATACTTATACTGTACAATATTGACTAAATTCACTAGATAACGTACATCACTAATGGTCGGTAAAACTTGTCAAGTCTCTCGGTATGAGTGGCACGTGTTAGTGCTCGAGTCTCCCGTCGTGGAAGTCCGTTTTCTCTCCCTTCGGGATGCCCGAGTCCATTTTCTCTTAATCTTAGAGTGCAGTGCACCAGAGACTTCGTTATTCCTCAGTAATGACACAGAATTTCAAATTGCAACCCCAATTGCAACTAGGGTTGCAATTGTTGAGGCAACTAGATATGTCCGATTACAGCAAATGTGTTATTGTCAATTTGTAGGTGAAAGATTTTATCCTCAATAGATGTAGGTTAACATTACACCTGGAGGAAAATGCTTACTAAAGCCTAAGGAATGATATTCCTTTAACACATAACATCTAGCCAGTACGGGAAGGATCGTCGTGTCTCCATCAGGGGGGTCTTGGAGTGGTGGTCCAGCAGGCATCACGGAAGTGTTTTTTCGAGGGGGGGCACGGACGTACGGTCGGCCTTTCACATACGCGGGTTTAGCATTCACGGATTCGCAAATACGCGGATTGCCCCGCCAGAGGAATATTCTGTACATTGAAGTAATTGAAGTACAGTCGGCCCTTAACATTCGCGGGGGTTAGGTAACAGAGATACCCGTGAATGTTAAAAATCCGTGTACTATTGCTACCCCCCCCCAAAAAACAATCCCTGGCCCCCCCATGTCCTTATTTACCGTATATACCTGTGTGTAGTTCGAGTTTTTAAGACAAAATTATTTGGCAAAAATTGGGGGTCGACCTCTTAACGGGTAATAGTTTCGTTAGGTTGAAAAATATTTACCAGTAACTACCAGAAAACAATGGAAACGATGCACCAACACACCACCAGCTGTGAGTGTCGGTACAGTTGCCAGGGCAGATCTCTTGCGAGCCCAAAGTAGCCAAATCCATGGTATGGTAGCACAGGACGATGTAAAACAAAGTATTCATTCATTAAAGTTAACTCGTAGATACTGGACATAAATTTTTGTTCATTACATTTGAAGCATCAATCTTTGTTAATTAAATTTGAAACAAGAAAAAACTACGATACTGGATTTTCATTAAAATATTACATCACAAGTATATTTTACCTTAACCGTGACTGAATGAATATATTCTCGGAAATAAATATGGAAATGTAATATTTTTGCTGGAATGACGTACATATTATGGTGGGAAGTGGGATAAAATCATGACGAAACACTTTCGCTTTCTTTCGTTGTTCAAAATATTTTACCGTAATCGCTTTTCGAATGGTTTTCAGTTAAAAAACTGTTGCATCACAAGTGAATTAGGATAGAATATTATTGTAATACAACAGTTTTTTAACTGAAAACCATTCGAAAAGCGATTACGGTAAAATATTTTGAACAACGAAAGAAAGCGAAAGTCTTTCCTCGTGATTTTATCCCACTTCCCACTATAATATGTACGTCATTACAGCAAAAATGTACGACTGCATATTCAGTATTCAATCACAGTAAAATAAATATAACAACAGTATAAATAATCCAATATCGCCAATTTTTATTTCAAGTGACTGTCTTTAAAACCAATATTTCTATAATAATTAAACATTATGTCCAGGTAATCTAAATTGGCAATAAGGTAATCTTTGTTTACATAGATCTGTCTTCTACCACTGGTTTGGCTGCTTTGAGCTGCCAGCGAATCCGCACCGGCGGCATTACCGACACTCACAGCGGTGATGGCGACAGACTACTGGTAAATTTTCAGCCTGGCAGCGTATTACACCGTTTGAAGGCCTATTTGCCAAGCCAGTCTTCAAACTACACACAGGTATATACGGTAAATAAGGACATGGGGGGCCAGGGATTTTTTAGGGGGGGGGGGTAGCAATAGTACACGGAATTTTAACATTCACGGGTATCTCTGTTACCTAACCCCCGCGAATGTTAAGGGCCGACTGTATATGCTATCGGATGTTAACCGGCGCACGACTGTATGTGTTTTTGAAAGATGCAAATCCTCCGAGGATTCGCATCGCACGTAGCGCGAATTTGGATTGCGTGTCGTAAACGGACGCCGAGCCGGTCATTACCGGGATCGTACGTCAAATGAACCGAGGAATTATCGGAAAGACACAACGGGGAGAGAGGCGCTATTATTAGCCTTCGCGACGAGGGTACGCGCAACGCTCGAATAACTCGGCACAATGGGGCGAGCGAACCCTCGGGCATCGCGATGGGTTACCCGCCGCTAAACGACGGGCGACGCGCCGATTAAAATCCTATTTTGACGTTAAACCGACGCCATTTACGTATCGATAATATTTGGCAGATCCCATTTAGACCAATATATTGTATATTGCTGTACCTGTTCACTCTAATATCAACTACTATTTGCTCCGTCACTCCTCAAAAATCAGACGTGTCGTCGACGACTACATTGTGCATCTCGGTACGAATAAAACCGTCGCTACGACGCGGTGGCGAAACGTATGCCCCGAGGTCCGTCTCGGTCTAGCTCGTGACGTTCCAAAACTCTTCCGTTTAATGTATATTCCGATATTTTTGTAATCCTCGGTCGGGGCCTCGCTTCTAACCGGCACGATACATACATTAATATAGCTCAATGAATTTCTTGTTATAGTAAAGCATATACCGTACGGTCGTATGTCACACGAGGACGACTCCCTCGCTACCCGCCGTCTACGGCTATTGCTCATATAGTGACCGGATGTACCTGTACCAACTTATGCTGATGCACTGGGGATCACAGCAAAGTATTTCATCTAGAGTTTCAAATTTTACCGCTAGAAAATTCAATCGATACTTTTTGGGGGACCGTACATAATTTGGGGGGAACTGTTTTCGTTGTAGAAAAGTATCTTGGCTTTTATAATGTGAGTCTATAGGAATAGTGATTCGATTTACCATAGGTTTTTATAAGACACAGTACTCTTTCAAACTGGGGAATGCCTGTAGAACTTTCCTAACATTCAAAGTACCACAACAATATTAAATACAATACCACAGACTACTTGAGGTCCAGTAAACTTTATGTCCAGCCAACTTCATTCTAGTTCACATCAGGTCCACTGTAGGCAGTGTTGGAGAAAGTGCCTGAAAATATTACTTAAGATAAAGTACTGCACTGTTGATATGTAAAAATTTAAACTATGTCCTGTAGTCTTCTTCAAAACTATGCAAATAAAAGTTTACTCAACTCAACTGATTCATATAAGTAGAAAAAAGTATTTAGAGTACCACAGCATTTATAGAGTATCATAATTAATAAACAATGACATTATGTTTTGAAAACGAAAGTTAAAGTTATTAATATACTGTACTGTACTTTAAAGAACCACGAAATAAACACACATTCAAAATTGGGTATGGGATGAAAAACGTGAATCTGGGCCATATTTTGGAAGTGTCGCGTACCGCCGACGCCAATGGGACGCGACTTTACGCACAAACATTTACATAAATGCCCACTTTTATAGGATTACTGTACAAGTGTACTGAAATACAAGTACAGGTTGTACCTCTCCGGTCCGGCAACCACGGGACCCGACCGGTGCCGGACGCCGGAAATTTCCCGACCGTGGAAATTCGCCCTCTTCCTGGACAGATAGTGACTTCTGTTTACACTTGGAAGCACTAGCACCACTTTCTCTGCTTCGTGGTCTCTTTGAAGACATATTGAAGGGTTAAATGTCGTACAGTACCTTCTCAAATTTCGCGAGTTTTTAATTCGACGTTTTCTATTTGAACGCACAAAAAAAGCCGACACATTTAAAACTTTTGACGGCGGAAACTCAAATTTCGACGGGTTTGAATGGCCCGCCGACGTTCGGACGACGTGCACGATCGTGTAAAAGGCGTTATTTCTCTTATGTACGAAAGATTCGTTATTATTTATTACTGAAAGTCTTTTGGATTGAATTAATGTTAGTGTGTGCAAAATGAGCAATACAATTCATTAATAATACGCTCAATATTAAAACGCGAGGAAATGAGACGGCACCCTTTTCGTCGATTACAAAAACGGTGACCGACTGGTTCTACGTATAAAACTGAAGAAAATAAGACCCTGGTTGTAGCTGTAGAAAAATTAATATGGTTCTTTTAAGTAATGTTAATACATGGAACAATAGAAGTAGCTAACGATAATGGTAAAGAAAAACAGAGATCGCGTATGCGAGTGCGCACGCGTGAAAACGTATCGTCATTACTTTACGTAAGAATGTGAAAGCAACACTTATTTACTGTTCATATATATTTTAATTAATGTTTCTGAATTTGTTTTTATTGAATTAATGTTTGTGTGCAAAATTAACAATACAATTTATTACTAATACGTGTAATATTAAAACGCGCGACGAGACGAGACGGCTGCCGGCATTGTTTTTGTTAAAGCTTACAAAACCGGTGACAGATTGGTTCTACATATAAAACTGAAGAAAATAAGACCCTGATTGTAGCTGTAGTAAAATTAATGTAAAAAAATTAATATGCTTGTTTGAAGTAATGTTATTTAATGTTAATAAATGGAACAATATAAGTAGCTAACCATCAATGGTAAAAAAAAAAGTGAAACTGAGCGTATGTAAGTGCGCAAACGTGAAAACATGTCGTCGTTACTCTACTTAAGAATATGAAAGCAACACTTATTTACTGCTAGAATATATATTGAAGGGTTAAATGTTATGCTCTGTATAGACAAGCACAGAGAGAGAGCTGCCGGATGTAAACAAACCTTAATTTCCCCCGGCTTTGTCGTTGTTGTTTTTTTACGGGGATTAGCCCACCCGGGCATAGGTCACTGACCCACATTGGGGCCTGAGGGGCAAAAATTTAATACTCCTGTAATAATAATAATAATAATAATAATAATCAAGATTAAAAAAAAAAAAAAGCTGCCTATCTACCTATTGGACAAACTAAAATCGTTCCGGAGCACAGAATGCCGGACTAGAGAGGTACAACCTGTACTCTAATACACTCGGCTCGTACGCCCAATGACACGACGTGAAGTGACGACGTCGGTATTACCTCCCAGCGGCGTTTCTCCGTTTGCCGTTAACGGCGTCGTGTGCGAGACCGGACGGGTCTGTACGGTCGAGTCTCGACTTGTCGTACCGAGGTGTGTTGTTGGTCCTTGAAGCTTCCTGGAAATGTGACCAATAGCTATATAATACACAACACTGTAAAACTATTATATTATAGGCAGGGATTATTTGACCGGTACTCGGCACAATAACCGCCGCTTATTTGACAGAGATCTAAAATAAAACTAAATCCTTTTGTCAACAGAAATTATACAATTAAATAATACCATAATGTAATGACTTGTTTAATGCCCCCAACCATCCCGACTACAATCCTATACGATCCCCGCAGGTCCCGGTCAAATGGCCGACGGTTATTTGGCCCAGAATCGTGGTCAAATAACATCTTCGTACACTTATAATAAAGGCACTTGTTTGTTTAGTACCACGTGGAGAAACTGATTACTCAAATAGGTTAGGTTAGGTTGAAATAATCTTGTTCCAATGGTTTTTGATGTATTTTCAACTTTTATGACCTTCGGAAAATAGCTGCACGGCCAAAACGATAATTTTACCAGTTTTTATTTGGATTTTTTCTAATAAATAAATATGATCTTAATTTCCTTACACTAACAAAAACAATGAATCTTCCAAAGTGAGTTAGACTTTCAACATGAAGGGTTAAAAAACAACATTGAAAACCCTACCTAACCTAATCTAAACTAC